ATATAATGCAAATAGCAATCCTGTCTCCATTGAATTCTTATAAAGTGTACTGGCGATTGGTGCGGATGAAGGTGACAGTTTCAAGTAGCAATTGGAAGGGGACAATCCTAAACCCCTTCCCTGCTCCTGGGTGTTGCTGACACTGCTTTCCTCTGCCTCCAGCATTTTTTTCCTCCCTCTTGATGGGGTTTTGAAACTAGAAGTGCTCTTTGCCAAGAGAAAACAGCTGAAATGTGGAAGGGAAGAAACACGTTGCCGGGAAAAGTGCCCAGCGACTCCCTCTTGTCAATTACTTTTCCGTTTCAAATTGTCCCCACCCTATACTTCCCGTTCCTGTTTTTAGAAGCCTGACACATATTCTGACACATGGGCCATGCTGTCATGTATAGTTAGTATGCACGCCCTCTTTTCCGCATTACAGGGACAGAGTGAAATAAAAAGTGTAATGGGATTGCAGGGTAAGAGACAGTTACATTTACTGTAATTCTACCATAATCTGATGGTGTGGAAGAAGCATCAGGTACTGGGTTTTGGAAAAGTTATTTATCTTTATTATAACTTTGAGCACCCCTTGGGCATATTGGAAGAGAGATACTGAGAGTTGTAGACCAGAAAAGTAATTTCTCCAAATTTTGGCAAATACACAGGAAAGAGAATCACAGCAACCTTCTGCAGGTGTTCTTTGAGGTGCTACATGAATACTGTCAGAAGCCACATACCATACAGGAAGAATTCACTATGGTGCCTCTTTCCAGTGTCACCTGTCCTACAAATTAGGATTATATTGATATGGGAAGGAGCTCTGTCATTGATTTCCCGCATGGAAGGGAAAATATGGGTACAGAAGGATCTCTTCATATGTTAACTGAACAAGCTAAAGATGACAGATGACATTTAGCATAAAGTAACAGATCTTACTGTCTAAGAAGACAAAGTCAGGCATCTCTGTTAGAATTCTATTTATGGCCCGGTAGTTTTTAGGAGAAACTGGTGTGGTGCAGTGGATAGTGTGTTGGTCTAGGACTCAGGAGATGTGAGTTTGAATCCCTGCTCAGCCATGAAATTCACTGGAGAGAAGGACTGGTGAACCACTCCCTAAACTCACATCCTTAACAAACCCTACAAGGGTCACTATAAGTTGGAAGTGAATTGTTAGCAAATAATATCAAGCTCAAGAGAACCAAGGCAATTAGCTCTGAACAGCAAGAAGTATCTATCTGGGACTTTTTACTGGAGATTCATTCCACTTTTCAATCTTATTCCAATTCACCTACAGAAAAGCTAAGACCAGAAATCTAGATCTTAAAATCAATCACAAGTTGTTGGTTTTCTTAAATGTCTAACACTTATGATATTATTTGTCAGTCTGGTATTGTGCACCACCTAGTGGGCTTTGTTAGAATTCAGAACAAATATGGGAGAAAGATTGGTTTTTTTAGCTTAAATTCACTACCCAGATGGTTTTAATTCACACTAGTTTTGTTTTTATTTTTAAAATAATCATTATATTTGATTTTTTTAGTGTTATAATTTTACCATGGTGTAATCACCTTGCAGCCAGATGGGCGGTATAGAGGTCAAACAAACAAACAAACAAACAAACTCCTAAGGAACTTCAGAATGTCCGGGGAGGTGGAGAGATAGGAAGTTTTTAATTAAGTTAAATTAAAGATTAATATTGCTAATGATGTCATCGGCATTTATTACACACAGCACCACCAACAGCATTTCAGTCAGTATGCTGTTAATTTGCTGACAGCACCACATAAGACAGTGACTGGAAGTAGACTTGAAAATGGTGAGTTCCAGCAGCAGGTAAAATTGTTTAACATTTAATCGTCTTTAATATTATTTTTAAACTGCATATTTAATATGCTAATTTATGTATCTGCCAACTTCTTCCCATCATTTTGTAAGCTGCTTTGGATTCCTGAATGGAGAAAAAGTTGGGATGTTAATGAAATGAAATAATACATAAATAAAATAACATCGCTATGTATAACAATGAAAAAATGGTAATAAAATATCATTTAAAAAGTCACATCATGAGTTGACTGACTGATGTGATATGTTTTCTAGTTACTTTTCAGTTACTTTTAAATTATATTTTAGAAGGGTTTTTAGTGAATGTTTTCAAGTGTTAGGCCACTTTAACATTTCTAAAGGATTTTTAAAAAAAGTTAACAGTACATTATAAACAATATTGGGGGGGGCAACATTAGTACTTGTGAATTAGGATTCTGTGTTGAATTATGAAGTAACTGCCTTTAAAAAGTAACCTCCCCAAACTCTGCTCTAGAATAAGAATAAATTAGATTACTGCTGAGCCAAGATGCCATCTTTCCAGCCAGTAAGGCTATATGGTTATTTATTTATTTTCTAGTTTTGCAGTTCCTCTTTCTTGCAAACAAAAGGACTCAAGAAAGATGAGAACAAAATAAAGTACATCATGCCAGAATTTAAAACACTGCATCATTTTATACTATATTCTTATTTATTCTTATTAATGCAAATTACTATGATTAATATTACTAATAAGTTTCTTATTAATGTTTATTTATTTATTTATTTATTAGATTTTTGCTAATAAGTTTCTTATTAATGTTTAAATTGATGGCTTGTGTATAAAACGCAGAAAGTCATCAAATAAAAAATTTCATGGGTGAGTGGGCTGAGCTGTATATTGCAAGTCATCAAATAAAAAAATTCATGGGTGAGTGGGCTGAGCTGTATATTTGCTATGTTTTGAATATTCTAATAAGAGTATCGACACCTTGTAACACCGACATTCTTGGCTTAATTAAGGATACTGAGAATGCTCAGAAGAAAAATTACTGTGACTCAGGTAAAGAAAGCCTGGGACTAAACAAAGAAAGCAATCATGACTAGACATGGAGACAAATAAAAAAAAAACAAATTGTAATATTCGTAAGAAATTTCTGATTCTTCGACTATTCGTTGCTTCAGAATCATCCATTTCGGAGATCCTGACAAATCCGAAGGGATTAATATTTACATCTTTTTATTTGTCCTTATAGGTGCTAAAGAGGGAAGGCTAGGCTAGACTGCCCTGTCTGCCTAGGGCAGAGCACACATCAGCAGGCCCATAAGCAGAAAGGAAAGGCCTAGGCTGCCAGAATGGAAGCCGCCACCATCATCTGCAAAGATGACAGTGGTGGTGACAGCAGTGGCAGAAGAGGCAGCAGGACCAGGTAGGAAGGTGATGGGGGCACTGGGAAGGGGGCAG